CTGATGCAGAGAGTAATTTTCACTCACAGATAGCTGCATATTTGGGAGGAGACCATATACCTATGACACTTGTTTTTTATAGTTTTAGTTAAGTAGTTTTTAGAGTTACAGCGTGTAAAAGAAGGAAAGTGTGAAGGTAAATCTGTGCATGATTCTGTATAAAAGTTGCTGTGACATTATGCATTAGATTGTTTTGGAAATCATTTTACTGGGGGCTTGTACAATTATGCATTAGATTTTTAAAGTACTCTTGAGAAACTAAGAGGAAGGTCAACATGGCCTCCTGAGGGCCTGGAAATGTTTTTCTTCTCCATGAAAAGTGGCTACAGTTCCAATTTTTTGAAGAATTCCAAATTTAAAAAAAAATTAATCTTGAGTCTTACAAGCCAGTGAGAAAGAGATACCAGGGACACATTTGGTGCAGAAATAGATTTTCAACCAGACTAGAGAAAAAAGTCTTACCCAAGAGAGAATAGAGAATTCTTGTTGAAGAAATCTCAAAAACTTGTCTTGTGTCCCCTGTGCCTGTTATTAGCCATGTACTTGATGGAAATAATGAGAACATTTAGACATAATACTTTTTCTTTGAAATTGTTGATAAAAAATGAAACAGGCAGTAGTTAAATTTTGCATTACATTTATCTTTGTATTAAGAGTGATAGAATCCTTGGCTGAAAAGGAATGGTTTATTTCTGCCAATTGGATGGCATTAACCTGGGTATGCCTATCTCCTTTCAAGTACCTGCAAGCCTATACTGGGTGGGAAGGGGAGACAGGGACACAGACAGCAGGAAAAAATTTAGAGCATGGAGTTTCCATTAATTTGCAGATAATGCAAGGAATCACCCTGGCTGTGGCTTTACAAAGGATTGCAGATGCTGATATGATCTATGGTCAGTCACATTGGTTCATTTGTCTGATGTTATTCAAGTGGAAGAATTACACATAGCCTCTGAGAAAATTCAAACGACAGCATCTTATCAATATGTGGGAAGATTGGCATTGAGAAAGGATACTTTTCTTACTTAAAGTGATTTTCAAAAGCTTTTAGGACATATTGATTGTGCAAGTTCATTTCTAGGCTGTTCTATAAACAGATTGTCAGATATTTTTTTTTTTTTGTCATTTTTCAGGGAGATTCTGCTTTAAGCAGGCATCAAGTGTTAATCCCTGCTGCTCCTCAGGAGTTGCAATTTGTTAAACAAAGTATTTTTTCAAATATTTATTTCCCAGATAGATTCTCAATATTGAATTCTTTATATTTTCTTCTCCTGTTTCTCTCACAGAAGTGTTGGCACGGGAGAAATGCCTTTAAATTGGTTTTCTTTAATAAATTCTTTTCCTAGATCTATAGAAACTTGTCCTGATGAGATAGAAGAGTTAATTACACAAGGCGGAACTCAATGTATACATTTCATTGTTTAAGATCCTGTTAAAATGTTCTTTTCTCTTACACCATCTCAAATGAACACTTTGTTAGCACAAACTTTTATTTGGCCAATTGCCTTTTCAGGATATAGTGGACAATTAGATCGCTATTATTCTTCAGGTAAGTTTTGGACATCTCTAAAAATTCTTGGATAGTGACACATAAAAGCTATGGCACAAGCTGAATGATATTTTTGAGACGTCACCCATACACTTACTGTTGGGAAACAGGCCCTTTTGCATTTCTCTATTTACATTTTTTCTGGATTTATTTTGGCTACAACTCACTCAGGTGAGGCTATAAAATATGTTATTATTTGACATTTATTTCTGCCTTATATTTTTATGGGCATTTCACAGTGGTAAAAATAGATGATGGACCTACCTACACTGGTATAATTTTTTCTTTATTTTGCAATTACAGAGGAATACATCATCTTACTGGAATCCTTCATAAGCCACAAGAAGAAGCCTTTTTTGAATGTGCTCATGGCCTGCTAGAGGTGCAATTGAAAAAAAAGAAAAGAGGGCAGAAGAAGGAAGTCTCTGCTCCCAATGGATTTATTATTATTAATTTTAATTTATTTTAATTACTTTCTTTGCCAAAAGGCTTATGTAGTTCTTGTGCTGAATGGTATTTTCTTTCTCTCCTCAGACGTATTTGAGACTTGTTCAGGTGTGGAGGAAAATGATGAAGGAAATTAAATATCAGGATCTTTGGTCATCCAGGGAAGGGTTTTGTTTATATTTGAACAGATAATGAAGAGAATGTATGGATTCCTTTGTGGTGGGTCTAACCATGAGGACAATATTCCTGCCCTGAGTGATTTTTCTCCAGAGATTCCTGCAGGGACAGTCTTAGAGACCTAATGATTCTTTGTAAGACCCCTGAACATATGTTTTTGGCCATGTTAGCAATTCTTGTTATTGATCCGCAGTGCTGGTCACTCTTCTAATGCTTAGGTTCCTCATCCACCATTACTACAAGTTGCTGAAAGACATTTACCAGAACCTGGGGCTTTCACCAAGGACACGCAGTAGATTCCAGGACAATGGGGAGATTTGAAAAGTCATTTTCCTAATGAGGAAAGACGTGCCTTGAACTTTACCTTGGGTATTGACTCTTATCCATTGTGTGGGGGATTTTCAAAAGGTTGTCTTAAAGCTGAGATGGAAGTGTGGATGTGTTGGTTATCTGTTCATCGGACTGACCATCCATTTTTCTCCTTAGCAGGAATGACTTTTGCTGAATATGAAAATAATACTACACAACTTGGCAAGGGAGATAGTGTATACTGTGAAGTTTTCACTTATTGTAAAATTGTACAAAGAGACAATTCGGAACATTATTGTTAACAATTCTATAACTATTGTCAGTTAAGGTCCTCATGAAAATGTTTTGCCAAATTGTTCTGAGGATGTAAATGCAACTTTTTGTGATAATTTACATAATGCTTTCTGGAATCATACAAGATCTTCTTCGTATGAATGAGGACATTGAGGGCATGGCATAAAGGTGAACTAGGCCCTCCTCAATTTGGTCATTTGCATCAATCTGTTGGACCTGAGCAGTGGGACTTGTGGAAGTTACTTTTAGTTACACAGCCTATGGTTTCTTATATTGGGGAATTTGGAGGCACAAGTTGCTCACTTTCCAGGTATAACTTTACACTTAATGAAATTCTTTATCTAACCTCTTATGTGCAACTGCATCATGCGATTCCTCTTGGACATTTAAATATTAACTGTCAATGAGAACAGTACTTGCAGGAATTGTAGACTGTATACTTGATGTATTAACACTTCTAGACAAGGGAATTTAAGCAATGAAAGTCTTATCACATTGAAGTCCTGTCTGAGGGTGTGGCTGCCAGTGGAGATGTCTGGACCCTGGGAAGAAGGTCCAGTAACCAATGTGTTGACTAAAGTATTGCGGGAATCGCTACAAACATATAAAAGTTTTATTGGAATGTGCAGAAATGGTAAAAAGATTCTCAAGTAGTGAGTATAGTAGCTAGAATAGCTACAGTAGATGATGAACTAAATGGGGAAATTGTTGAGCTACAACAAGCCATACAAAGGGTGGGAGATCAACCTATTGATTTATAAGAAGCAGCCATCTAGCAAGGAAATGACTAAGTCCATGTGGAGGGAGCACACCAGGGTATGTGATCCTGCTATATCAAAGGAAAAGGGTGTCGAAGCTAAAATTGGGAGCACCGGTTGTGAACGGTTGTGGAGTACAATGGAAACTCAAAGCTCATCTGCAAAATAGTATGGTTGGAAAATCTCAGGTTGCAAACATTTCTTGTTTGATATTTTGACTTTTGTGGATGAAAATTTCTCTTACTATTCATGTCACCATCGAAAAGTGGTTGAAGTGTTTTTACCATTATATTGTACAATCAAGTGAATATGACCCATACAAATTTGACCGTAATTAGAAAATAAAAGGGGGTGGTGTAGGGAAAAACCCTTTAGTTCTTTAGGCAAATGGGACAGGACCACCACCTTCCAGGGCTCAAGACCATGGGAGCACGCTGAGGGCTTCACCCAGGGACCTGGTGAAAAAGCTTCTAGTTCTCTCTGCCGGAGATAGAACCAACACTTTGCCTGCTGCTTACTGGCAAAAACTGCAGAAGCAGCAGTCTACAAACGTATCAGTTACTTCATGTTCCCAACCTTTTCCTTCCTTCCTGTTTGTGAACAGCTTGGATGCTGTATTAATGTTTCTTTGTATACCCTCAAATAATTGCAAACTGTCCCTTTGTGTAAACCTTGTCACAAGCTGCAATCTACACGACAGAGTGTATTTCAAGTTGTACCAGGAGCATCTATGCGGCCAGATCCCATGTGCCTCAACTGCATGTATCCTTTTATCTCTTATCTATACGTTTTCTCTGTGCAGATCATGCCCTCTTGAACCCGTTCCATTTGTAAGATAAGTGCTGGACTTGATATTAATTTTACAACAATGCAGTTGGGAAGGCTCAGGATAGAATTGTTCATTTAGCGCACCAAACAAAATTGTTTCAGTGCAGATAACAAAAACCCAAAGGTCATGTCACTGCTGTAAGCTTCAACTCCAAAGCATTCCGTTCCTGCTCCATTGGCCAGTAAACCCAGCTTCTCCAATACAGTATCCAAAGGCACCGCACTCTACCTACTACCCTACTGACCCAAACCACTCAGCGTTACCGGCTCTGTGGACTGGAAAGCCCATCTCTCTTGCCTGATGCTCCGGTTCCTGATTCTAGTTGCTGTGGCAGAGTTTCCTCTCCTCTGATGTCCTAGTTTTTTTCTGGATCGAGTTTCACTGTGTGGAAATCTCAGTAGATGTGCTCTATGACTGCCTATGGCTGGCAGTAAACTTCCCCCTCCTGATTCTCAGAGGGCTCATTGTACACTCAGCAGATAGCACTCACAATGGATCCTGTTAACAATTACTCACCAATGAAACATCACTATCTTCCAAAGAGCCAAATTAAATAATTCACCCCATCTGTATCTTTATATATTTTAAGGAAAAACATCAAGAAATGAAACCCTGTGGGCTTCCGCCCCCCGCAATATGGCGGCGCTCTGCGGGCGTTGCTGAGCAGCCCGGACGCTGAGCCCGCGGGCGCCATGGTTTTCCTCTCGGCGCAGCTGTGGCTGCGGAACCGCATCACCGACCGCTACTGGCGGATCCAGGAGGTGCTGAAGCACGCCCGGCACTTCCGGGGAAGGAAGAATCGGTGCTACCGGTTGGCGATCCGCGCTGTGATTCGAGCCTTTGTGAAATGCACCAAAGCACGGAAAGTGAAGAAGAGGACCATGAGGACGCTCTGGATCAATCGAATCACAGCTGCTTCCCAGGAGCATGGCCTGAAGTACCCAGCTTTGGTTGGCAATTTAGTTAAGTGCCAGGTGGAGCTCAACAGGAAAGTGCTTGCCGACCTGGCCACCTACGAGCCAAAGACTTTTAAATCTTTGGCGGCTTTGGCCAAAAGGAGGCGAGAAGAGGGATTTGCTGCTGCTCTGGGAGACTGGAAGGAACCGGAAGGCGTGTTCTCCCGAGTGACGCACTACCACTGAGCACCCCCCCACCGCGCACATTGACCTTCCTGCCTTGGCAGTGTGACCTCCGAGATGTATGTCCCAATGGTCACAGACCCTGAAATAGCAAGAGGAATGGACGCAATTGAGTACAGACCTCTGGAAGCAAAGGGTCCAGCCTCCTCCTAGTGGGCGAGCTCCACAGGCTGGTTAGATACAGATCCTGCAAATAAAGCTGGTTTGCTGTTCTACTTTGCAAAAAAAAAAAAGAAATAAAACCCTGTGTCACAGATCTATTGTTGCTGGAACATGAGTAGATCCTGCATGCCTGAGTGTATGAATTTTTAATATTATATCAAAATTCTACTTTTAATCCAAAAATAATGAGTAACTATTCTCTATGATATACCTGATTTCACTTACCCGCAAAGCCCAAGATAGGGAGAGGATTACACTCAATATGCACTAGGACTCCAAGGAGAGCTCTCCAGGTGTAAGAATGTTGGGGAGGCAGTGTCAGACCCCCCCCCCCCCTGAATTCACAAGGATGTAGAAAAAGCAAATTCCTTGTCAATGAGGGTGGTGCGCGATGGAGACCCAATGTCCATCTCCAGACAACTGGACATACCTTGCAGAGGGGTAGTGGGGAGATGAGTCACTTAGGGTACAGTATAGCAACAATGAAGCTCACAATCTTCCTCTAGTTCTTAAACGCTTCCTCCCCCCAACTACCAGGACCCCAGTTTCGCCTTGCAGACCTGGTTAGACCAGATGATGCACAGCGGTACAGAGGGGAATTGGAAGTGCAGGGAATGTAGGACGGAAGAAACTCTCAGGACCGGGGGTGAAGGGGGCGATATCAGGAGGGAAAGGGGAGGTAGTAAGGGGGAATGGATCACAGGGAGCCACATATGGCCTCCTCTCTGGGGGACGGGCAGCAGCGGGGTGGGTGAAGGGAGGCACCGGACAGTGTAATGTAAGATACAAAAATAATTTATAAATTATTAAGGGTGCATGGGGGAAAGGGAAGGGGAGGGGGGGGAAATTTTAAAAAAAAGGAAAATGAGCGGATTCCGGGAACCCAAGAGGCAAGAAAATTTTGGGAATGATGAGGGCAACAAATGTATAGATGTGCTTTACACAATTGATCTATGTATTGTGACGAATTGTATGAGCCCCAATAAATTGATTAAAAAAAAAAAGAAAGAAAAAAAAAAAAAAAAGAAAAAGCAAATTCCCACAACCAAATCCAAATCCTATGAGATAGAGGCCATGCATACTTGCATCCTCTGCACTTCTACAATTGACGCTCCTTGTTCCCCTCGACTTCTCTGTTGTATTAAATAGTTCATTGCAGTGGCCACACCAGACTCACAGGCAATACTCACAGTTACGAGGCTTGATGGGGTCAGTGAACAAGCTACAATTCAGGAGCCGAAATGCTCAGGATATGGTTCTTGAGGCAGGGTTTTCTCCTCTTGATTGTGCACACAGGCACACCTCTGAGTTCCTTAGCCTTAGCCAGATGACCCTTTGGCATCTACCCGCTCAGGCAATGCTATTAAAACCCCTTTAGTGCTGCCAATAAATGTGCAAAGGGTACTCCAGTAAATCATGTCTGTCTGTCTGAAGGCATTCAGCTAACTCAGTCAGTAAGTAGACTTAGCTTTTCCAGTTAAGTGCTTGGAGGTAACCATCTTCTGAGTTGGTGACAATTAGTTAAAATGTTAGAGGATGGAGGCATGTCCATTGTAAACAAGCCTCCTCTCAAAAGGCACTCAGCTTTACTCAAATTGTGTGCTCAGAAGGCACCCCTCGATTTCATTATCTTCGTTCAGCTGCCTCTGTGTCAAGTCTCTGTTCACTGTGCAAAAATATAGGAGTTCAAAAGATGTGCTCCATTCCTGACACTTCCTTCTCCATGTAAAAAAAAATTCCTTCCACCTTGTTTCTGAAAAGGCTCATTTCAACCCAGCATGATTATTAATCCCATTGTTGGATTTCTTATCTTGATCAAGTAGCTGAGTCTCTGCTTCCGATAGCCTCAGATAAAAATTCCCGTAAGTAAATTCCTCCTAGCTGGGGGTAAAGAGAACTTACATGCTTAGGTCTCTCTAACATTAATGGACCAGCAGAAATGCCCATTGGTCTATCCAGCTTCCTGTGGTGTTATATGCAGAGCCTTGTATCAACTCCATCAATGTCTACTACATCCATCCCATTTCTTAGTAACAATCTATAAATATCTGTCCCATTGGGGAAAGTCATATCCCAATTGCCTCTTCCCATTTGCCTTTGCATTTCTCTTATGTTTCTTGCATTGTAAAACCAATGTTGGAAAACGGCACCAACAAGTTCCACCTGGCTTCTCAGAGAGCTGCTTTGTTTCCATACACTTCATTTGCAGTTTCAAAGACCGTGGATAGAAGAGACATATTAAGTAGGTGCTACTCAGAGTAAACTAACAAATGTCTATCCAGTATACTTGTACCTTGAAAAGAAGTTGGGTAAATTTGACTAATCAACTAAAAACAACAACAACAACAATCCTGATCTAAGAAATAGGTTACCGATGTTTGGAACCCAGTGTAAAAGCCTTCTATGACGTTCTTCATTCCTACACTTCTTAGAATATTGCCCTTCTTAGTGCTCCCTCATTCACGGGTTCTTAGTATGTGTTCCGTGTCAGACTTTGCCATCACCCAGGCACAATTGGCACAATTCTTCAACTAGTTATTGTAGTTTTGTTTCTTTAGCTGAGCACAATTCAACCTGTCTGATTCCTCCTAAGAGGGAAATCAAATAAGACTCCCACAATCTTGTTCTTCTGAAACCAACCTAAAAGCCCAGCTTCTGCACTATCACCTGTGAACTGATTCTCCTAATACCAAGAAAATGACACTCACTACTGTCCTTTCAAAGTTGACGAATAGTGAACACACACACACACACACACACACACACACACACACACACACAATCTCCCAGACTGTCTCCAGGAGTAGAAAGCCAAGACTTTCCCCCAAGGAGGTGCTGGTGATTTTGACTGCACCTCCAGGCCTCTAATTCTCACACGACATCCACAATCAACCTCATTTTTATCAAGTCGACTTTGATTCATAGTGACCCCCAGAAGACAAATGACATCTACCTCTTTGGGTTTCTGAGCCAATAAATCTTTGCATAAGCAAAAAGCCTCATATTTTTTCCAAGGAGTGGCTGGTGGGTTTGAACCACAGACCTGTGGTTCACAACCCAATATGCCACCAAGAGTCTTATGCATATGTCTCCTAACATCTAATGCCAAATTACTATCACAACTGCTATTTTCTGACTTCTTAAACTATGCGATCTGCAACTTGAAATCCAAGGTTACTATAAAATGTTTTTCTTTCCAGATTGTACCTACTTGTTTCATCCAACTCTCTTTTAAAACGGAACCCTGTCAGTCCCTTGAAGATAACTGGATCCCCAACTACATCTCCCTCAGAAGCTTTTAAAAATAAAAAGTTGTCTTAAGATACACCATTTCTTCAGGCTTTTACCACAAAACAGTATACTTCTGGGCTTGGTAACCTCAGTAGTTGCTAGTTTTCTTCTGTCAATAACACTGTATCTAGCATTTGACCCTAGAATAATCAAATACAAAATAAATAAATATACACAAAGTAACTCAATTCATAGCACTACGTTTCTCTTTGCTTCCCACTACAGCTTCCAATCTTAACTCCTCCTGTAAATATCTATGTTGCCTTGAGTTTCTGGTAAACTTTAAAATTAATATACTTTCACTAATATCATCTGCTTATAGGAAGTTAAGTAAAAAAGTATTGCTACTAGAACGTCAGTTTGTACATCAGCTTGTTTATTCCAAGCCAATTTTAGTTGAACGTGTCTCTACAATTAGTTGATGGTTGTAGACATTATCTCAATATTACACTTATGTTAGTCTCGTTTGGGTGCTGGCAATAAAAGGTCCAGTCAAAGCAGTGACATCCAAAAAGACTTGCTGGACCAAGTTTTAGACAGAGAGGTCAGCTCAGAAGATCAGAGCAACTCTTTTTGGGGGGAACGGGGAGTGCAAAGGGGTAATTAAGATAAGTTTTCTCTAAGGACTAAGTACAGTCACAGAGGCTTATTGTGAAGTATTTAGAAAAGTGAAACCTGCATTGTGAGAAAGAGACCAGGAATGTTTTATAAATCTATTTTTCACAAAGAGATAATGCACATGCTCATTCTTCTAAGGTAGCAAGGACTCTCTTAAGAGAATCCCATTGGGAAAACTTAACCCATCTATTTTACACCCCTACTCTTACCCCTGCAGATATTTTGTTCACCAAATACAAAGAATATTAAAAAGGAAGACAGTCTGGGTCTCTTGAGCATCCCCCAAACTGCTGTTACGATGTGCAGGATGTTTAGAGGAAGGATGAGAGAGATGGAAACACCACTTTCAAAATTGTATAAACCAAGATGTAGGATATGTTGAGAAGCAACAGCTTGAAACGTTCTTCTTTTGTTTTAACTCAAAGCCTTCTATGATCTTGTAGCTATGCTTTTTAATTTACACTAACATACCGGCCAGTTCCCTACATTCATTGACGAGTGGATATACATATTTTTCTCAGAGTGCCCATTTCTATCATTATACATTAATTCAGTATCAAACATTATGTCCCATCAAGTACATTGGCATATTGACCTTTTAACTTCTTACTACTGTTGAAAACACCCCGGCTCCACACAAAACAAAACAAAACCTCGCTGCCATCTGACTCATAATGACCCTGTAGGACAGAACAGAACTACCACGGTTTCTGTGATTGCAACTCAGTATGAGACGAGGAAGCCTCATCTTTATCTCGTGGAACAGCTAGGAGTTTCAAACCGACAACTTTACCGTTAGCAGCTCAAGTCCTAACCACTAAGCCACGAGGGCTCCGGCAACCAACATTCAGGAGGATACTCTGGATCAGGACAGAATTTGCTGTTAAATTGAAGCGCTCTGGGGAACCATAATTCAACAACCGTGACCCCATATTTTAAGCCATTCTCTGTTAATGAGTATTTAATTTAATTTAGTTCAGCAGAGAGTAAGTCAGCAAAACTCGAGTGAGCCTCAGAATCACGTGGAGGACACGCAAAACTACAAATTTCCAGAAGTTTTTGTTTCTCCTTTTCCCCTCAATATGATTTGTATTTTATCTTCCCAATAAAGCCTATCTTGCAGGGTTTTAAAAATTATTCT